AGCGTTCAAATTCTGCTATAAATGCGTTATCAATAAGCCACAAACCATCCAAACACACCAGAACCTGCAGTTCTTCTTATTTCTTGACAGCCCGTAACGTAAACAATACAAAAGAATCTAAAGAACGAGATCTGTTGAGCATTTATTGTTTATTTACTCATTTTTTATTCTTTTCAAGTAAGACATATCCATTGTGTCTGCCTCGTGTCGCGACATTTATTCTAATTTTATCATTCATATGTGTGGATGAATAAAAAAAGAGAGAATTAGATCCATTTACTGAGATTGCCTGGTTTCACTTTAAGTATGATGGGAAATAAAGATTTTTGTTTGTGGATATAATTATTTCTCTTTTACTTATAAGCGACTATTGAGAGTTGTTTTTGATCGGGATTTTATAAATAAGGGGGAAGTTGTTGTTGGATATGAAATGGTGATTTGATTTTAACTATTTAAAAGTCTAGAATGGATTAGTTTTTTGGAGATTTTTGACAACTAGATTTTCACGAAAGACAGATTCTATCAAATTTAATTTAATTACAAAATTCATCCACAAACCCTCAAATCAAAATAATAATTACAAAAATACCCATACTAAGAATTTTGATTTATACCACCAAAACGTAAATTCCTATAATTTATTAGTCACACTTTGTAAGTAGCGTGTCATAGTAAATTATAATAGTACACAAAACTACTCATTTTCCATTTAAGCTCACAAAAATCGTCCATTAAAAACTGTAATTAAAAAACTATTTCAAGTGCTTGCTATTTTATTCTAGGACTTTTCATGACACACATTTCAGTTTTAAATCTAGTAACTTAATCATCCAGCAGTCTCCAAGTTGCATGAGAAACTTTTTTGTTGCCATTTCTTCATCACATTCAAATAAGTTCCTCAATAATGCAAATAAAAAAACTTTGTCATTTAAATAAAAATATTTTTACTTTAAATTGACATTTATTATCCAATTAAATTAAGTCTTTCGCTTAGTTTATTTTGAGACATGTTGAACAAGTTGTAAAATAAGTTGTATATTTGCTCAAAAAAGAGTCATACATGTGAAGTTTGTGTTAATGTTATTGTGAGCAAGCTTGAGTTGATGTTAAATAAAAATGAGAAATTGTTGAGTTGGAATGTCGAAGTGCATGGGTGGTTCAAAATAGAGAAATTCAAAATTTCTTTAACTTTATTCCAAAGTTTTTATATCATTCATTAGACGTGACCTTGTCTAATGAACCTACTTAAAATTTCACAATAAGCTCGAATATCTCAAACAATTCTTTATTGTAAAAATCTATTTTTAGTCAACAACAAGTTCACATACCAACTTACTCCATCCAATAACTCACAATCATAAACTTCCAGAACTGAAAAATGTTTCGTCTTTATTGAATTTTTTACATTAACAGCTTCAATATTTACTCGAAATCTAATAAATTTTTCTACTTTTTCCCAAGGGTCAGACACTCCAAAGTATTGTACGGTATTGTACAATACCTACAATACTTACAATACTTGCCATATAAGTATTGTAAGTATTGTAAGTATTGTACAATACCTACAATACTTACAATACTTGCCATATAAGTATTGTAAGTATTGTAAGTATTGTACAATACAAATACTTTTCATATAAATTTACAATACTTTACAATACTTACAATACTGAAATTTAATTATTTAAGAACCAAATTTTAAAAGAAATTACATATTTTTTTGTTTTCAACAATTTGTAAAACCAAATTTAGTAAATTAAATAAATAACAATTTTTTTTGATAAATTAACATTATTATTGAAAATTAGCAGGGGTAGTTTATGAAAAACTAGCACAAATTTCAGTTTTCCAATAAAAGAGAGAATTTCTGATTATGTAATGGCTATAAAAATGATAAAAAGTTCAAAATTCTTTTGTAAAGCTAGACTGATGCAAATCAAGAATTGATTTCATACAATTCTCATGCATAAAACCGTACAGGTACGAAGTTTATTATGTAAACTATTATTAAATGTCAATAAGGAATCAAAATTAAATAGATTGGTTTCATTTTCACAAGATTTATCACTCTTTATAGCAAACTGCATTACGTTTTATACAAATTTTTTGATCAAAGTATAAGGTTTTAAGTGTATTCAAACATTACTTTGACGATTTGAATTTTTTTACCTCTGACAAGAAGGCGATTAAGAAGTAATCTAATTTAACAAACTTATCAAATGGTTTTTATATCTTTTTCTTTTTTTTTTGAAAATACATATTGTCAACAACTGCATCTCTAAGACAGTATAAAACTGTATATTTTCTTCTTTCTTTGCCAAAATTATTCTTTTTTTTTTATTTCTTATGATTGATACTAGACTTTCACGATTTCCTGTTCCCGAAATTTTTGGAACAGAAACTCGATGAATAAAAATAGTTATCCAAAAAATTTTAATGTCAAATTATCTCAATTGAAAAGTTTCATCATTTAAACACAAAAAAATCTTCCAAATTTTCAGGAGCATGTTTGATATTTTAGTTTAAATTTTTGTCCAGTTCCCGACAATTTTTTGGGTCCGGGAAATCGTGAATGCCTAGTTAATACAAAAAAATATATCATTATAGGAAGATTCACTGAAAATTTCTGATGTAAAATGTCCTTACTAAAAACAAAGTAAACTTTAAAGAAACAAACTTAAATCGAGGCATAGTAATGTTATGATATGACTTAAAGCGCTATAAAAAAACTAAACCTCGGTGTTACCTCTATAAAATTGAAGCAAACGTTAAAATTCCTCTAATATGAGGAGACTAATGTCTAATATTCTCATCTTATCTTATTTTCTTTAAAAATGTTTGATATTTTTGGCTGCATATGGCGTTATATCGCCTTTGTTTCGAGCCAGAATACTTTTTTGCTATTGACAATTTTGAAAAATGACTTTATTACCAAAAATTTTGTATAGAAATATTTTTACAATATTTGTATATGTTTTAGACTGAATATTTTTGGAGAACTATAAAATTTCAATTAAAACTTAAAAATATCCAGTTCAAAATTGCTAATCATGTATTTTTATCAAATTTTGATTCAAAGAATGTAAAGAAACACGAGAAACTACACAAAAACCGTAAATTATAATCAAATTCATATGACAAATGTTTCTCAAACTGTCTTGTAAAAACTACAATACTTACAATACTTTCCATACAAGTATTGTAAGAATTGTAAGTATTGTACAATCCTACAATACTTGTCATACTTGTCATATTACAAGTATTGTACAATACCTACAATACTTACAATACTTTCATATGTATTGTAAAGTATTGTACAATACATTACAATACTTTTGGAGTGTCTGACCCTTGCTTTTTCCTTCGATCGAACAAATTGAATGCTTATAAAAATTGCATTTTCCCTGCTCACAATGAACATGCTTTTTTGTGAAGAAATAAATATCAATTTTTTTATTGCAATTCTCACTCTCTTTTGCTATGCACTTAAGTCGATTTTCTTTTTCTTTTTGTGCTATAATTTTTGCTATCGATTTGTAGAAAAAAATGAAGGAAATGCTTTTTGCGATGCAATTGTGAATGTAATGAAGAATTGTGATTTAAAGGGAATTTTTGATTGAGTTATGGAATTTGTTTTGGGTCGTTTTAGAGAATTTTTTTGATGATTCTGAAAGTCGAGACTAAAGACTGTGATCACCCTAAAACTGATGCATGTTTATCCTAATGTAAAACAAGTCAGGTTTGATGAGAATCGAATCCATGAGCTAAAAAGAGGCATTCTCTTACCACTCGATCAGAGATCCCTACGACTCTTCCACTAGTACTTATCTCACATCGGCTATCTGTCATACACAACGAGTTTCACAATGAGCCTTATGCTCAGGTGAGCCCTATCCACAAAGACGTCGAATGTTTTAGTAATTAACCCCCTCTTGCCTGCAAAATTGTCTATGAACATGCAAAAATCTCTGAATTCAACAAGATTTCAGCAATTTTAAACAACTGAGAAATTCAGCTTTTATTTAACAAAATTCCAATCATATCCAAATACATCAACTCTCAACCAAGAAGCCGCATCAAATTTGCATTCATCTCATTACTTAAACAATTCTCATCCATTCATTCAAACTTTATCTACAAGCTCCAACGCAATTTCAAACATAATTAAAGTAATTACATGAATACAACATCAATGACCATCATAATAAGGCATCCACACATAATTTTCATTTAGCATTTCCATCTATCATCAGACCAGCTTCATAATTTTTTATTTATGCCAGAAAAAAAAATTTCTTCATTAATTAATTATCTCGAGTCGTCCATTCCCATTTTGCAAGCAGTTCTCTCAAGTTCTTTAATTCCATTAAATATTTGATAGATGAGAAACTTTAATCACTGATGGAAAATGAAAATCAATTTTTCATTTCCATTTTACTGCACTTCATAATTCTATGGTTGGGGAATATTGCAATGCAATTAAAGGGAAATTTTAATTAAGATGTATTGCAACACTATTATTATTACTTCTGTTATCAGCTTTGAGAAAATTCTCTATTAATTATGTTATTCAATGTTTAAACCGCAATTATGTTGTGGATATAATGCACATGTGGGTTTCTGTGTGTTTATAAATCATAATGTAATTTGGTAAAATGTTTATCATTTCATTGATGATGCAATTGAGGTCATTAGGTTGAATTGATGCAGTGTTTCTTCCTAATTATAGGTTTGTAATTAGTTTATCAATTAGAATCGCATGAACTGCATCAAAATTAATCTTCTGCTCTAGATGGATCATCCACGACACTTGTCTATGTTTAAACATTGACTATTAATTGTGAATGCAAATTCAAAAAATCCCTGTGTTGAGCATCATTATTTTAGATGATTACATGACTACAACCTTAGTTTGTACACAAATATCAATAACAATTCCCAATTTAACCAAGATATCCATTAAAAACCCTCAAAATTCATAATTCCAATTATAAACTCACCATTTGCTGTTGCGTTTTAGGTTTCTTTATCAAATCAGGTACTTTGAAATTAGTAACAGCCTCAATAACTTCAGCAAGTAGTAATCCATCGCGACAATCTGTCGACAAGTCAACAACTTTACGCTTTGACTTGGCACGCTCCAAATAGTAATTTGCCCATTGAGTGTAAATCTGTGAATGAAAAAAATAAGAATGAGAGAATAAATAAAAGCATGAATATGCAAAGAAAATTGTACAGCTACTGTGTGATTATTTATGAATACATTTTAAGTCGACAATTTTCTTCCTGTTAGACGTCCACTCAACAAACATGGAAATATGTCAAGTGGAAAAAAGTGTCAAAATAGAGTAATTTGATATTTTTATTTATGAGCGGAGTTCCTTTATGTGAGAATGAATTATTTTTCATGTGGATAATGTAAAATAATGATCTGAGTAATCAGAGAAAAACAATAAATCAGTTGAATATCTCGAACAAAAACATAAAGACGTGTTTCATTGAAAAATCAAAAATAAAACATGGCGCAGTCGTATTTAAGTATTGAAAAGTTCAATTTTGAAGCTTCGACGTTAGAAATTGAATGGAAACGATTTTCAAAAGAATTCAACTCATATTTGGTAATCAACCAACTTGATGAGAAATCCGACAACATCAAACTCAATTTATTAACACTATTGATGGGATATAAGTCAGTGGATATCATCAAGAATCTGCAATTAACAGATCCAGAGAAGCAGAACTACGAAAAAGTGTTTGAGGCTCTCGAGAATCATTTTTTACCGTTATCAAATTTTTTAATTGAACGAATGAAATTACGTGGTCGAATTCAACAAGAAGACGAATCTGTCGACAAGTTCATTAGTGACGTTCAAACCCAAGCCGATAGCTGTGCATTTAATGAGTTCAAAGAAGAAGCCATTCGTGATCAAATAATTTTCGGTCTGCATAACAACAATTTGAGAGAAAAGCTCATTTTATCTGAAGAAAAGTCATTACGTACGTTGATTAGCAAAATCAAAATTTTCTACTACAATCAACAACAATTGAATCAACTAGCATCAGACAGTGTTAAAGCGAATCAAATAGCAGCAGTTGACCAACGTGTTCCTCACAAACCGACGTCATATAAACGTGAAAGTTCTCAAATTAAGAGCAAAAAATTTGAGAATTCAATAAGCAAAAAGAAGAAGGAGAAGGTCTGTGCAGATGATGAACGCAAAAGCAGTGAGTCTAATGTAGTAATCAATTGTGATGAACTAAAAGAACATGCAATAGGCAATGTTTGGAGTAAAAAATTACTCGTGCATGATAAAATGATCAATTTTAAGTTGGATACTGGATCGCAGGTTAATACTTTAAGCATAAATATGTTCAAAAGTTTAGGAAAGAAATTTAAGATTGAGAAAAGTAATTTAAAATTACAAGGATATTTTGGTGAAATCAATCACCCTTTAGGGAAGACGATTCTTCCAATTAATTTCAATAATAATGTTTACCTTGAAGAATTCATAATCATTGATAAACATACGGTACCTTTATTAGGTTTAGAGACATGTGTAAATCTAAAACTTATATCTCGTATAGATTCCTTGCAATTAAATCAAATGTTGTGTTCAGAACAGCAAAAGAATAAGTTTGTAGATTTTTATATAAAAAAATGTTAAAAAAACTTTTTAAAAAACACGCTTTTATCAAAAAGACTAAAAATCAAAAAGTTCAAAATAAAATAAGGTCACACTTTTAGCGAATCAGGATTTTAAAAATTTTCTTGTGACAACTAGAAATGTAACATAAATTTTTTTCAAAATATTGTGATTAAGTCCAAGAACACAATGACTCTATAAGCGTGGGGCGTAATTTAAGGATGCATTTCTTAGTTCAACTAAGTTCTTAAGTAAGAGAAGCGTCAAATCTCAAAGCCCCACGCTTTTCGAGTCATTGTGTTCTTGGACTTAATCACAATATTTTGAAAAAAATTTATGTTACATTTCTAGTTGTCACAAGAAAATTTTTAAAATCCTGATTCGCTAAAAGTGTGACCTTATTTTATTTTGAACTTTTTGATTTTTAGTCTTTTTGATAAAAGCGTGTTTTTTAAAAAGTTTTTTTAACATTTTTTTATTTGCTCCTTTTTTGGTCGCTTCGTTTTTATTCTCAACAACAGACTTAACTTCAAGAAAAAAATGTTATTTGTTTTTTAGTCTTCGGGAAAAAAGCGTGTTTTTTAAAAAGTTTTTTTAACGTTTTTTTCTGTTTTTTTATTTGCTACTTTTTAGTCTCAATCTTTTAATCGAATTTTGACCACAACAATTCAAATTCAACTCCACTTCGTTTCGTTCAACTTTTAATATATTCCCATTTTTTAGTGGGTAATTAGTAACGACTGTCAGGATTTTTCATTCGTTTTTATAATTTAAGTCATACCTGGAAACACATAAAACTCTTCCAAAAAATGTCCTGAACTTCAATTATGTGCGTTTTCTGTGTTTTTTAAAACATTCATGAGTAAAGAACATTAATAATCAATCGTAAAGATTTTGTGTTTATCCGTACCATTCCTATTACAAAACGTGTGGATTCTTAACATAAAGATGCAAATCACATCTATATGTAACGTATTTATAACGGATTTTTCAAATTTAAATTCAATGAATGTCATTCATATGTTATGCAAAATTACGTTAAGCCGATAATAAATAGAAGTCAATTTAATTAAATTGGTGAAGTGCTATAAATATTGTAATACATTTAAAACAGCATACGTTTATGCTCAAATTATGTGTGCTAAATGCACATCACATATTGATAGTTATTTTGCATTAATTCGTAACGGACTTGTGATTAACGGTTTTTTTGAAAATTCAAATTTTCACTTACGGATATTCATGAAAAAATTACTTGTCAATTTTTTCATCCTCCCAGAAAATCTTCAGCTTCTCCAATTATTAGTATTATTAATAATTAGTAATATTAATTAAACTATAGTGAATCATATAAATGACTTTTGAGCATTTCAAGTATAATATTTTAAACAAATCAAAATTTTATATCATTGACATTGGATTTTTCTCCCATATAAAAAAGTTTTATTAAAATTGTACTATAATTAAGCATTTGTGTGGTTCTAAAGTGTTAAAATATTGTATTGTCACCGGGAATACGTGTGTATACAAAATTTGAGCTCGATTGGAGTAATAGAAGTGGTCGAAAAATCGATTGCAAGATTTGAACGTGACATACAAAGAAACCAACAGAGCAACTCAATAAAAAGCGTGTAAAAAAAGCTTTTACAGGTCTTGGCAAGTTTAATAGACCTCTTAAATTGAAATTAAACGATAATGCAATTCCGGTGGCAAATCAGAATCGTCGAATTCCATTCAAGTTGAAGAATAAGCTTCAGAATAAATTAAATGAAATGGAAAAGATAGGAATTATTTCACGTGTCAATGAACAACGTGAATGGATTAATAGTATAGTAATTGTTGAAAAAGGAGACAAAATTAGAATTTGTATCGATCCAAAACATTTGAATCAAGCATTAAATAAGTTTCATTTTCCGATTCCATCCCTTGATGAATTAAAGCAAGATTTGAAAGATTCTCAATACTTTACGGTTTTAGACCTCAAGGATGGTTTTTGGCACATAGAGTTGGACGAAGAATCCAAAAAATTGTGCACGTTTAGTTCTCCTTTTGGCTTGTGGCAATTTAATAGAATGCCTTTTGGTATAAACATTGCATCAGAAATCTTTCAAAAGTACATGACGGATACTTTTGGCGATTTACCTGGAGTCAAATTTTATATTGACGATATTATTGTTACTGGTAAAACGCTCAGAGAACATGATGAGAATTTAGGAAGATTAATGGTCAGGGCATTAAAGTCTGGTGTGAAATTCAATCAGAAGAAATTACAATTCACACAAAGTTCAGTAAAATTCTTTGGCCATATCTTTTCTAAGAATAAAGTAGATGTTGATCCAGAAAGGATTTCAGCAATTAATAGTATTCCAAATCCTAAAAATCTGGAAGACGTACAAAAGTTTTTAGGAATAGTTAATTATATAAGGGACTTCATTCCCAATTTACCTTCTTTAACAGTCAATATACGTAATTTGTTAAAGAAGGATAGTGAATTTTTATGGCTTGATAATCATCAAGCTGAGTTTGACAGCATTAAAGAAGTAATAAGAAACGTCACCTCATGTACTACATTTGATGAAAATATGCCAATAATTTTAGAAACCGATGCCTCGTCATACGGTTTAGGTGCATGTTTAAAACAAGGAGATAAAATTATTAGCTTTGCTTCACGTTGTCTTTCTGAAACAGAAAAGGAGTACGGTCAGATTGAAAAAGAATTTTTAGCCGTTTTCTTTGCGTGCAAAAAGTTTCACAATTATATTTATGGTAGGAAAGTTACTATAATATCTGACCATCGTCCTTTAGAAAGCATAATTAATAAAGATATTAGTAAGATAGGATCAAAACGCTTGCAGCGTATTCGATTAAAGTTACACAAATATGATTTAGATTTGAAGTACAAGCCCGGTAAAAGCATTCCTGTAGCAGATTACTTATCTCGATACGTTTCAAATAATTTGATAGCTGTAGATTTTGAAGAGAATTTCATGAAACAAATGATTCATTCAGTGAATATTAGTGATGATAAACTAAAAATCTATCAAGCTGAGACAGATAAAGATAAAGAATGCTCGTTGTTAAAGAAATACTTTGCTGAGGGCTGGCCGTCAGACAAATCAAAAGTACCTGATGAAATAAAATTCTTTTATAATTTGCGAAATGAAATTTATGTTTCGGATGATTTAGTATTTTATCAGGATAAAATAATAGTTCCCAAATCATTGAGAGAAAATGTTCTTAAAGATCTTCATGAAGGTCACATGGGAATTACTAAAACCTTACGTTTCGCGAAAGAATCAGTTTATTGGCCTTCACTAAATGTTAGTATAGAGAATTTAATTAAGAGTTGCGAAGAGTGCAACAAGTTTCAGAAATCGAATAGAAAGGAACCAATAATTCAACACGAGATTCCTTTTCGATCATTTGAGAAAGTCGGATGTGACATCCTTGAATACAGTGGAAAGAGTTATCTTGTTGTTATTGATTACTTTTCAAAATGGATTTCGTGTAAATATTTAAGTTCGAAGAATTCGAACGCTGTAATTTCGAAATACATTGAGATTTTTACAGAACACGGCTTTCCAAAGACTATTATTGCAGACAACATGCCGTTTAATTCATTTGAATGTAGAAGTTTTGCCCAGGAGTGGGATATTAAAATAGTCACTTCAAGTCCTCGTTATGCACAGTCGAATGGTCTTGCAGAGAAAGCTGTAGGAATAGTTAAAAATATGATGAAGAAATGCGATAATTTCAATAAAGTTTTAATAGCAATTTATAATTACAATAATATTCCGTTAACGGATATTGACTTGTCTCCTAGTCAATTGCTTAATAATAGAAGAATGAGAACTAAAATTATTATGAAAGATAGCTTGCTTGAACCAAAGTTAAATCACAATTTAGGTGAAAAATTCGAAAAGAAGCAAACTAAAACCAAAGTTTATTACAATCGAAATTCATATAAACGTAATGAGTTCGATTTAAATCAGAAGGTGTGGGTACAATTGCCTGATAACACTTGGTCTAAAGGATCAATAGTTAAGAAATGTTCAGAGCCTAGATCATATGAGATTTGTATGGATAATAATAGGGTTATTAGACGAAACTCTAAATTCATTCGACCTGATAGGTCAACAGTATCCAATCAAATTGATCAAAAGAAATGCAATGAGTCTAGTCGATACAGAATCAATCTCGATAACTTCTTCGCTGACAACTCACTGCATGAACCTCCTCTGAATTCTAATGCAAATGCCGCATCTCCCGTTCATCACCAACCAACTGCAACCTCAACAGAGAGTAATTCGAACCAACAACCGTTCCGACGATCATCAAGAATTCCTAAACCAGTACAAAGATATGGGAATTGATAAGAGAAGGGAGATGTAAAATAATGATCTGAGTAATCAGAGAAAAACAATAAATCAGTTGAATATCTCGAACAAAAACATAAAGACGTGTTTCATTGAAAAATCAAAAATAAAACAGATAAAGTATAAATAATGATAAATTTCCCCATTTATAGAAACTTTATACTGATAACTTAAATTTGTATAGAAAAATTAGGGAAGAAAGTTTCATTTTGTGATGGAATGAATAAACAGGAAAGGTTAAAAGTAAATGTAAGAATTTTTTGTTGATAAAATGGACTGGTTGTAATTTTATGGATGAATTGATGAATAAAATAGATGTAAAGTTATAGAGTAAATTCAATACATGTCTTGTTAATCAAATTGATTTATGATGAACATGTTGGGCGAAATAGAGACTAAGGATTAGGATGTAAGTTGACTGCAGGAATATATTTTGTTTAATAAAGACTTAAGAATTGAATTTTCGGTAGATTTTGGATACTTTTTTTGTAAACTTAGATTTTATTTGGCAGGAGTAGGAGTGAAGCAAGGATTAACTAGACAGATTCAAAACAACTTCGTAAAGCTACAAATTTGAAAAATAAATTGATCAAAACAATTTCGTTCAGTAAGAAGCGTACCCAAATAGCACAAGTCGGTTAACCGAATAGAAATTTGGAGTCAAGTCAGCATGACACTGTCATTCGATTTCACTTCGATTTAAATACAGAAGTATGACAGAGTCACGCAGGCTTAGTGACGAATTTCTGTTCAATTAACCTACTTGTGCCATTCGGGATAGTAACACAAAAGAAATAGAGTTGGGAATAGATTTCAGCTGGGATTGTTTGTTGGATTTTTGGAATCATTTTTGAGCGTATACGCCTTGATTGCCACTAAAAAATTAAGACATTTTCAACCTAACATCAAGTCCATAAAATAGAAATTTAATCCTCTTTAATTACTATTGTTAGTAGATGTCCAAAGTTAGTAAATGAGACTTCAAAAACATGACATTTACCTCTGGAAAATTCGACACATCGTCATTTGATCCTTGACCATTAACACATCGACCCAACATTTTGTTTAATATTTTATTCTCTCGGGTTTCCTTTTTTATCCACAATATTTTTATTTTTTATTTCTTCTTATTTTTTCAATTCACTATTTATGCTTATGGAGCGTCCCCATACAGCACATTTCACGGGGTTGTATCAGAATTTGAATATATTTTTTTCTCCCCTTTTTCCTTCGTCTTGTTTCTTTTGAACAATTTGTTTAGCCCTTGGGACATTTGAAATCAACAGCAAAAACAATAAACATGTTGGTGAATCCATTCATGCAAAAATTATTTTTTGTTTTTTGTTTTCATTCAAAACTTATTTTTTGTTGCTGGAAGATTCATTTGAAAATATATTTTCTTCTTCAAAAGAGTTCAAAAAGGTTGCCGTAAGGCACTTTGCGTGATTGAGGAGCATTTATCATTCATAATTTCTCCATTTCTTTCGATGTCATAAACAAGTAAAAATTTTTTCACTTAAGTTGAGGAAAAATCAATTTTTGTGGTTTTTTAATTTAATTTTTGTAGCACATTTTTATGTGGTTTAAGTAGGTTTATAAGAGGGAAGAGGTTCTTTTGCATTTTGTGACAGATAATTTGAGGTTTGTAAAGTGTCTGTGTTTGAGTAATTTTGAGGTTAGGATGTTTCTTGGTTTTGTGGAAATTTTACTACTATTTAGGGCTACTTTCTAGGAGTTGTAAGACATAAAAGCAAGGTGACATAACTTCTCAACAAGGAGCATAACTAAGATTCTAGAGAGAGATAAGCATTTTTTGTATGATCTTGTTTCTATAAAATTAATCATTTAAATTTTTTTTTAATAAGAACCTCTGCCCTTCGTTCCCTTTCCTCCCTCTAATCTGACAATATTTTAGTTCTGATTTAAAATTATAATTTTATTATTAGGAGCTAGTAAGAAGCCCAGGAAATTTCAAAATCTTTAATCTCAAAATGTAAAATTTCAAATTTCCACAAAACCCGAAAACCCAAAAATCAAATCATAAGCTCTTTCAATTAAAGTTGCTGTTCATTGACTTAATTCCTTGTTCTCTAATTTTTTCACACACATCCACATTTACATCATCATCACAACCGTCCAATACATTGGGTCCAAATAAATCGCTTATAAGACTCATAAAAAAAAGTTTAATTGACACATTTATGGCTTATTCATTGAGCTACTGTGTGTGAGGTTTGAAGCTCTATATTCACATTTCACTAAATATGTTTAACAAATCGTCTCAATTCCACTACTTCCTGCATATTATATGCTCATGCTCATATAAAAAATAAATATTGAACAGTTGAACGCGCGAAACGAGAATGAAATTTATGGCAAAATGCAATGTTGGATATTTTATTGCCATCGACAAAAAAAATTAAAAAGAGCAGCAGCACATAGGAAAATTTTTTTAAAGAGAACCAAGTCTGAATAAGTCGCGACAATTTATTAAAATATATATTTTCATCGTGCGATCGATTAGTTTTATTAGCACTGTAAATTTTTACAGTCATTTCTATCCCTCATGCTCTCTAAACTCAAGCAGAACAGAATCGATTCACAATTTTAATTCATGTAATTTTGTGCATTCAAAACCACTACTTTTATTTTCGTCTGCCTACATGCACATAAATTATTTGACATTGAAGTTATCTTTTCATTATTGTTATTATGTTTTCATTTAAGTGTAAGTTGGGGGATGTTTTGAAGTTACGTAAAAATTTCATTCTGCGTTGGCGTCTATGCAAAGTTTTAATTCATGACTCACTCGCTTCCTAACGAGTCATTCAGCAGGAGGTACTAAAATTTCATAAATTACGATGCAACACTTTAAAGTCATTGAACTGAACCTGTTTAGATCTTTACAGCCCCCACATCCTTAAATCCACACATAACATTAAACTTTAACAACTTAACTCCCTTAGCTCTACGTAACATCCGAACTATCCCTAGCTCAGCAGCATGGAAAATAAATAAAAGCTATGAAGTTCAATTTTTATGCATTATTTTGTGTGGAGCATTTGTTTGCACAGATGTTTCATATCCGATGTGAGTACTTTTATTTTAGAATGGAAATATTATTATGAAGTTCATTGATACTTGAATTTTTTTCGGGAACTGTTCATGACGTGACTGCTGAGGGAAGATGAAGTTTGATGAGAAAAATATTTTTTGTTGAGAATTTGAAGGGCAGGCTGGAAAAATCAATGGAATATTTATAATTTTGATTGATTTTTCAAGGTTCAAGGAATAGAATTTAAATGACTGAACTTGAAGTACTTAAAGTATGATAATTGCAAAAATTCGAAGCCATTATGCTCAATTATGTTATGATTTTATGTAAATTGGTCAATTTTTGTCATACTTGAACCAGGAATGCATTCAGGATTTATGGAGTGCCTAATCACCCCTCAAATCAACAGATCAAATTCACTTCCTACTTAAACCTCTAATCACTTTAACAGACAATAATTCTCCTCATAAAAAAACAGAACAATTCTAATGAAACCATAAAAGACAACGTTAATAAACCTTAATCGATCTACTGACTTAAATAATCGCCATAATAATTTTAATAATTCACATTGAACAATACGACTTCATTAGACGTGTCTACACAAAACTCGGAAGCGCACAACAGTTGTCGTCATTTTCGTCATTAAAGGGAAAAAATATTAATCGTAAGCACTTATTGTTTATTGTTGTAAGAATTTAATGAATTGTGTTTTGATATCATTTACTATTTTGAGTAAAATACTTTTAAGATAATTCACTCATAGCACAATTATCGGAGCATGAAATTGCCCTTCACAATACGAATAGAATGCCTTATTTATGGCACGTTGTGTATCATATTTTTTGATTTATTTTCAAGTAGATATTTTTAATGTCTTTTTTTCTGTGTTTATTTTATAGAATTTTTGTTGGAAAATTTTCCGATTTTGGAGTTCAAAGGGTTTTCGATGGAATTTTCCAAACGATTATTGTTATTGGATGTGTTGGGAGAATATGAACGTGAAGATATGTTTGTGCTTAACATTTGGGAATTTTTCGAAAGTTTAGACAGCCTGTCATTTTTTAAGGGAACTGACATTTGATATCGATTTGTGTAAATTAAATGATTATTATAAAATTGATCTGGATGAATTCAGATAATGTAAGGGGTCGTTCACTTATGACACCCGATTTCAACGGTACTTTTGTAAAAAAAGAACAAAGGAATTCCAGGAATTCCCCCTCACCCCAACAACGTCATAAGTGAACGACACCTATTGGATAATGAACAATACAAAATTATGATACTTGTAGCAAAGGTTTTAATTGCCTAGCTTACTATAAAACATCATATCTGAACACTACAGTTCCGCTTGAAGTTAACATAATTTTACTAAAACGACGGATAGTTTTGTCTTTGTCTATGAGCTGAAATGGCTCGTTGGCGTAGTGGTTTATTATTTTTGAAGCTACTTATTGTAACATAAGAATCATAAGATCGATAATTAATAAGGGAAATCGTTTACTGGTCCCAACGCTACCTGGGTGGTTTAGTCATCAAAGGAATGGGTCGGATCTGATTTTAAACTATGAGTATAGGTTTGAGCGGCAAACATCACTTGTATAGCTATATGATAGCGACGAGTTGTGGATCAAATTTGATCAAAATTTAAAGGTAACCAATAAACAGCCATATGAAGAATCCATACTTTGAAAATCTAATATCATGCCCAAGAAAGGGATCCTGAAGAATCATTGGAACATTTAAAGAAAAGTTTATAAATCATGCCAAGTTTTTGCCATGCAAAATCACAAATCCTCGTCAATATTTACACAAAATTACTTAAAAACGACAGAAGCTATGATGAAAAAAATTTCAGACGAAAAAAGCATGACTAAAATGTTTCGTAAACACAATATTCATTTTATTGCGAAAAATCCACAGAGAAAATTTTATTTTAAAACAGTTCCTTAATTACATAAATTAAGTTTTTCAATTTTGCAGAACAAGAAAAGCAGAAACTTCATCTTGAAGTCACCTTCAGGTTTTCTATCTACTCGGTTCTCTTTTTAATTTCCTAATGCAATTATAATTTCTTTTAATTATCCACGAAGACAGGTAAATTGAAAATGAAAATGAGAAAAAAAAATCTTTTCTATCCCAACTGCACTTTTTCTTTCTCAATTTTCATTTGCTCCATTTTTTTTCGTCTAATTTTCTTTCTATATAAATAAACAAGCAGGAGCGATTGACTAACTGCCGTGTATAAAAAGAAAGAAAATTTTCTTCTTTCTCTCTTCATCTAATATGTAAGTGGAACTAATCAACAGCCCCGTGAGTCGACGTTGACTTTTTCATTTCCACTTTTAATGTGTAATTAAAATGCACTGGAAATTCTAATTTCACTCATTACACTGATATGATTTTCATTTATTTGATTATGACTGTAATTAAGTCACCTCCCCTTATGCCTTATGCATTTTTATTGCCCACTTAAGTGGTCATTTTACTATATTTTCCACATGAATGAAATTATTATTATTTTTTTTACTTTTTTTTTATTTTCTCCACTTTTTATTTTGTTGTTTCACGCACGCAATTTAAGTCGCCGCATATTCACACTTTTCAACGAGACAGCTGGCACACGACTAACATGTTCAGAGAAAAAAAATTGTAGCAGCGGGTAGCAGCTTAATAGATTTGAGAAAAAAAAAAATTAATTCTTGAGAATAAGAAAATAAAAATTGAGGAGAGGCTTTAAAAAAATCTCATATGCTGAACTCTCAGCGTTCTGTGCACTTTTTCATCTTCTTTTCTTCTCATTCACGATGTTGAGAGTTTTTTAAATGAAAAATGAAAATCAATTCGTTTTAACTTGTTATTTTTAAATTAATTGCTGCTCACTATAAGCGAGAGTCATCGATGACGATGACGATGATGGAAGAGATGTTGTGATGTATTGGGTGAAGAAAATTAGATAAGATCATGTTTTGTGATGATTTTGTGCAATCGTTTCGAATGCAGCTTGTGATGTAATGTGTGAATGCTTTTTGATCTTTTTTGCTGAGATTATAGAGTCAATCTGAAGGCAGGGTTATGAAAAGGGTTTAATCGTTTTATCGTTATTCATCTACCTTTTAGGGGTCTATGAAATGGAGGAAAATTTTGGAATTTTATTTTTTGTGTTAAAAATTTTTGGTTGAAAATAATTACAAATAAAGCATATAAAACCCATTTTCCAACTAATGATAACTCATATAATTTATTAAGGGTGCGCAAACTAGATCTCAACGTGAATAGACGTGTTTACAAATCGCTCCGCAAATTATTCAAAAATCTCAAAAGAAACAAAACAGAGACTACCTGAGAAGCTTTTTGTTTGCAAAAAGTTTCAAAATCTCAGTTTGATTCTCAAAACATCAAAATGGTAGCATCACCAAAAACTACCAACAACGAAGAAAATCTTTCTCAAAATCAGCATGGACTTAATAGTTCTCAACAACAACATTCATCTTCAGTGACAATTCTCAATATTGAGGAAATTTTCAGTGAAGATGTTTCACAAGCAGCCGACATTGAGATGACAAATCTCAAACCAAAAAAACAAATATCAATAAAGAAGTTTCTCAATGAAGCAAGTAAAGCAGAAAAACGCCCTCGAGAAGTGATAGTTCCCAACGCTCTTTTAAAAAGAGTAGCAAACGAAAGCAAACCAAAAGATGGGAACAAACCACTGTTCGTACTCCCACTAATGAAGAAAGCTTCG